CCCCCCCCCTGACTCAGTCTTCCCCCTCCCCCCCAACCTGGCAGATTTGGGGGTGCCTAAAACATGGCTTAGTCTTGCTACATGTTCAGGAACATGCTTAGTGGGCACTGCTGAATCCCATCCTGGGGGAGCATGTTGGCTGTGACCCCATCATGCTGGGACAGGGGTTGCTGGGATGTGTTTAAACAGTGCGCAAGGACCAGAGCTACTCTCCGGGCCACAAGTGACACTGTCTCCTCCTTCCTTCCCTGCAGCCTGGAGCAGAGCTAGAAGCTTTTCACCATGGTGAGTGCCACCAGGCCTGGTCCTGCTTCCAGCTGCAGTCTCCAGTGCCTTCCCCCCCACCAGTTATGACCCCAGCAGTCTTTCCTGCCCAAGTGCAGGGGGGCTGGACCTGAAGATCTTGTAAGGTCCCTCCCAGCCCCTAACAACTATGAATCTCTGAGGCTGCCATAAATAACCTGGTATTTTTTGATGAATCAAGCTTGTTTCTTTTCCCCCTTCCAGCATCAGCTTCTTGGCTGCTCCATTCCTGGTTTCAGCTTCTCCCCCTGCCCTTTAAGTTGACTTTTAAAATTAATAAAACCCCCACTGAGGCTCCTGTCTTGGCCCCTCCAGTTAGAGAAGACCTGGGTGTCACCTAAGGAAGGTACCAGGCTTCTGGGAGCTGAATTGCTTCCCCCTTGGTTTCTTACAGGGAGAAAGAAAAGGCGTGAACAAGTATTACCCCCCTGACTTTGACCCGGCAAAGGTAAGGGCAGGGCATGGGGGGCTCTGGGCATGGACTCAGTCCTTTGGTGCACTGGGGTCAGGCTGGGTTTAGTCGCTGCTCTCCAAAGGGCTTGCATTAGGGAGAAGGCCAGAAGCCAGGACTCCTGGTTTCCCTTCCAGATATGAGAGGGGCATGTGGTGGGCAGGGACTGGGGAGGACCATTTCTGTCTCCCTGGTAAGTGCCAGGCTCTGGGGGTGAGAGAGAACTGGGATGCAAGACACCTGGGTTCCACATTGGGGGTAGGGGGTTGGGAGTGGGAGTCATCCCAGGTGGAAGCTGGGTCCTGATGACCCCCTACCCCCACCTCCCCTGTCCTGCCTCTGACCCCTTGTGGGACCTGGAACACCCATCACCAGCCACTCCGTGCCTCAGTTTCCTTGTGGTAAAAACAGGGCCACAGATGCCAGCCCACCCAGATGTGGCCATCCTTCCTACTAGGGCAGCTCCCTCCTCCCTTTCCTTGAGTCCCTGACTCCCTTTGAGCACCTGTGGCCCTGCTCACAGCCACCCCTTGTCCTCCTTTGCAGCATGGCTCCCTCAACAAGTACCGGCACAGCCACCCGTTGCGGGAGCGGGCCCGCAAGCTGTCTCAGGGCATCCTCATCATCAGGTAAGAGCACCCATCCTTCCCTACCCCAGCCCTCTTCTGGGGGAGACACCCTGGCAGGGCACCATGGGGGCTGGGATTCTGCTCCCAGCAAGTTGTGCTTATGCTGGGGGCAGGGGTGGGAGGGTGCAGGGCTCCTGGGTTTTATGCTTATGACTGCACAGAGTGGCAGAGGGATGAGGTTGGCTCTGAGCTTGGGGCGGGGAGTGGGAGGGGGATGGTCTGTGGGTGACCCAAGGCTGCAGGCATTCTGGGAATGATCATCCTGGGGTGGGAGCTGGACCCTCAAGGAGGGGCTTGGAGGCCAGTGCTGGCTAGGCAAGAGGGTCCCTGGGGAGTACCACAGTCACCAGCAGCTGCCTCCCGGCCTCCTGTCTGTTAGGTTTGAGATGCCCTACAACATCTGGTGTGATGGCTGCAAGAACCACATTGGAATGGGTAAGATCTGCCCCCTCAGGGGAGGGCCCTGGACCTCTCCTTGCAGAAGGGCAGGGGCTTCTGACACATGTGTTGACATGTGATGTGTGGGGAGGGGAGGGGAGGGGAGCAGGGGCTGGAACAGCCCCTGACACCCATTTCCCTCTGCGCAGGCGTCCGGTACAACGCAGAGAAGAAGAAAGTGGGGAACTACTACACCACACCCATCTACAGGTGGGTGCTGGGAGGGGCAGAGAGACACCACACACAATCACTAGAGTGGCCTTTGCTCTCAGGCAGGGTGTGATGGAGCCTGTGGGGGTAGGAGAGCTGCTACAGACCAGACCACACAGGGCCTTGGATGATGATGATGCCTCTGTGGGACTAGAACACGGATCTTAGTGAATCCTAGAGAAGGGGCTGAAAGGGACCGTTGGAAGTTACCTAGCGTCCATCCCCCCTGCCTGAGGCAGGATCACCCCTGTCCAAAATAGCCCAGACAAATCCAGTATCTAATTTCTCTTTGTAAGACTACGATCAGCCCTGACACAGCACCAGACCTCACCCTCCGACCCCGCCACAGGAAAAGCAAGGAGACGGCTTCGGCCAACGTCCTTCTACTGTAAAAGGTTATTAACACACTCCAGAGATCCCAGGCCAAGACCATGCCCCTGCTATAGAGAAAAGTGAACCACCCTCAAGTCCATGCTAGTCTGACCATGAGGTCAAATTCCTTCCTGATCCCAAATCTGGCATTTGGTCTGAGCCTGAGCAGCAGGGCAAGACCCTTTCCTCTGGGTTCGAGTCCCAGCAGGAGCATTGGCACAGCGCAGTTACAGCCTGGGCTGCAGCCAACACCCATTGCCTCTGAGGGAAGCTTAACGCCGCTGCCCCCCCACCCCCCGATAATGGTATCAGCAATGATGGAGGGGTGGGTGGGGGCAGGAATTCCCCTCCTAGCCCCATGCAGGAACTGGCAAAGCCTAGAAGTCTGGGAGATCCCTGTAGTAGAGCACAGGCATCGCTAGGCCTAGCTCATCCCCCAACCATCTGGAGGCTTGATGCACCCCCACCCCCAGGACAAGTGTCTGTATCCACTGGAGGATGGGTTTAGTCAGTACCAGGACAGGAAGCCAACATTCCTGGGTTTCTTCCTTGTTACCTCCCTTGTCTGTTCTCTCTCCCCAGCCCAGCCATGGTGAACGTGAGGGGCTGTGGGCTTGGGGCACCCCATGAGGCATCTGGTAGCCCACATGTGGAGCCCCTAGGGCAACCGTGTTACCAGGGTGGCTTCAGCTAGGCTCTGTCCGGCCCTAGCAAGGGCCGACAAAGGGGGCAACAATGGGGGCATGAGGGGCAGGGGGGAGAGGCTGGGAGCTGACATGGCCCTTGGCCCCCAGGTTTCGGATGAAGTGTCACCTGTGCGTCAACTACATTGAAATGCAGACAGACCCGGCCAACTGTGACTACGTCATCGTGAGCGGCGCCCAGCGCAAGGAGGAGCGTTGGGATCCACAGGACAATGAGCAGGTCCTGGCCACTGGTGAGTGCCCTGTGCTTGTATACACTACCACCCAGCTCCTGCTTCTGCCCCTGCCCCCAGCCAAGCCAGTGCATCCACGTGTCCCCTGGCTGTTTCCCCCAGAACACGAGGAGAAAAAGAAGCTGGAAACAGATGCCATGTACCGGTTGGAACACGGCGCCACTGATCAGGGCAAGCTGCAGCGTGCCCTCCCCACCTTGTCCAACATCCAGGAGGCCCAGAGTGCCTGGAAGGACGACTTTGCGCTCAACAGCATGCTGCGCCGCAAGTTCCGGGTCAGGGCTGGCTTCAGGGGGCGGGTGGGACTCATGGCCACAAAACTCAGCTCTCTGTGCCTGGTGGGAGGATGCTTCTGCTACCCCGATGTGCCCTCTGTTACCCTCCACCTCTGCCAGGGCCCTTTCATTTCCCTGTCTGTACCCTTCCCCACCCCCACCCCCAACAGCTTTACTAGAGCCCTTGATCCCAGCCTGTGTGCCCCCTGCTCTCCCTCTCCAGCTCTACCAGGGCCCCTAAATCCCAGCACCATGCCCCTGTTACCCCCTGCTCCCCTCCCCGGTCTTACCAGGGCTCCTTCATCCCTGCCTGCACCCTCTGCCTCCCCCCCTGGGATCCTTAATCTCAGCCCAAGCCCTCTACCTGCTTCTACCCCCTCCAGCTCTACCAGGTCCCCTCAATCCCAGCCCACACCCCTGCCCCCTCAGCTCAAGCTGGAATTGAGAAGACCTGGTAGAGTCACCAGCCCCACCCTGGTTCTACCAGGGGCCCCCTGATCTCAGCCCCGTCACCCTGACCCACTCCCCAGCCACTGTCTGCAGCCCTTTGCAGTCTCACCCCACCTTGCGCTGGGTTGGATCTGGGGCAGCCAGAGGGTTTGGTTGCCCCCAAGGTGTTGACGGCTACCTGCCCCCTCCTCACCCACCCAGGAGGAGAAGAAGGTGTTGCAGGAGGAGGAGGAGAAAGACCAGGCGCTTCAGGCCAAGGCCAACCTGAGCATCCCGCTAGTGCGTGAGGCGGAGGAGGACCGGCGCCTGGCCACCCTGCTCACCTATCGCAGCCCCGACTGTACGTTCCTGGCCCCACACATGGGGATGCTGGGCTCCAGCCTGGCTGAGGGGGTGGGCACGGGCAAGTTCACCACCACCAGGGCTGGTTGGACAGAAGAAACAGAGACTGGCACCCCGGACTCCTGGGTTCTCCTGGGGGAGAGGACTAGAGCCAGGACCTCTGAATTCTGTTGCCAGCTGTGATGAGGGGTCTGATTCATAGAGAACAGAGACACAGTGAGAGCCTGGACTCCTGGGTTCTCGACCTAGCTCTGGAAAGGGCAGTAGAGCCAAAAGCCCTGCAGGATGCCTAGGTTCTCCTCCCCACTCTGGGAAGGGGAGTGGGGTTTAAACTGAGGTTAAAGCCAGGACGCCTGGGTTCTCTTGGCAGCTGGGAAGGGTTTGATGGTTAGAGCAGAGAGGCAGCAAGCCCAGACTCTTGGGTTTTCCTCTCAGCCCAGGAAAAGGGACTGGGGGCTAGAGCCAGGAACCTGGATTCCCAGGTTCTTCTCCCCACTGTGGGAAAGGGAGTGTGGGGTCTAGAGGTGAGAGTTGGGATGCCTGGCTTCTCTTGTCAGCTGGGAGGGGCTGTGAGCCTGGACTCCTGGGTTCTCCCCACTCTGGGAGGGGGAGTAGGGTGTGCAGCCAGGACACAGGGCTGCTCCCAGCTCTACTCCTGGGCTGCACAAGGTCTCTGACCAACCCTCCCCACCCCTCATCCTCTCCTTCCAGCCTATGAGGACAAGCAGAAGCAGAAGCGCACAGAGATCTCCAGCCGCTCCTGGTTCCCCAGTGCCAAGGCTGGCGATGCACTCAAGCTGCCAGGTCTGGGCACAAAGACCTCTTCTTCTCCAGCCCCCTGTGACCACCTGGGCATTGTGCGCCGTCGGCCAACAGATGTCCCCCGGGGCCTGGCTAGCCTAGGGGATGCCACAGAGACACCCTGCGCCCTCCCTACCTCACCAACCGCTGGACCCTCTGGCCCCCCTCACTCCCTGGTCCCAGACTACTCGGGCTCCGGCTCTGACTCGGATGGTGAATGACCTACCCCCCATGAGTGCAGGCTGGGCACAGAGCTGTCCCGTTGTTGCACAGAGGACTCCTGGTTCCTGACAGAACCTCACAGCCGACCTGGAGGAGCTACAGCTTGGCCAGGCCCCATGCCTGGGCATCAGTGCCCCCTTCAGGACCAACCCAGAGTGGCATCTTCCTCCCCCTGCCTGGGTATTTATACAGCACCATTTCTGTGCCCCCCCACCCCCCCAATCCTAGTCCAGACCCCTGTGCAAAGAGGGGATCTCCTACCAAGCTCCCCCCACCCCCAGCATGACTTGGAGCCCGGTTCATCGCTGCTCCAAGGAAAGAGGCAGCTCCCCTGGGGGCCACTGCCCTGGGTGGGGGCATAGGCCCCCCCTGAAACTGGTTGCTGCCACCAGCAGCTTCTGCGGACAGTTGCTGATCACTCCTGATGCCGCTGCTGGTGGCTTCTGCAAGCAGTTGCTACTTGCCACCCTGCCGCCAGTGCTGCCACCTGCAAATTGTGCCCCTCAGTCTCGGGAGGCACCAGTCGTGCGGGGCGGGGGCTGCCAGCCAAGCCCCCAGCTGGGAGAGAAGGGAATGGGTTTTAACAGCAATTAAAGCCATTTAATGAACCTATGGCTCTAGCTGGCTTGGAGAGGGGCCCAGTGTACACACCCCAGGGGTTGAGTTGCCCACCTCCCTTCAGTTTCTGTCCGCAGCTGTGGGAAGGCAACAGGGTCTAGTGGTTAGCGCAAGAGTCCAAGACACCAGGGTTCTGCCTCCACCTGTGAGAGGAGAGAGGAGGCCAATGGGTTCTGGCAGGGAAAGGTGGGGCAAAGCCCAGACAGCTGGGCTTCATCCCCAGCTGTAAGAAGGAAGTGGGGTCCAGTGGTTGGAGTAGGGGTGGGGGCAAGGCTGGAAGCCAGGATACCTGGGTTCCCTCCCCAGCTCTGGGAAGGTGGTGGGGCCCAGTGGCTAGAGCAGAATCCCAGGACTCCTGGGTTCCCTTCCTAGCTTTGGAATCAGAACTTGTGGTAGAGAGATATCTTTTACTAAACCAACTAGATGTTTGCAAAAAATTCTTTAATTACAAGCTTTTGGACATAAACACCCTTCTTCAGGCATAGGAGAAAAGATTGTAAAAGTTCTGGGCAAAAATGAAAGTTCATAGGAGAGTTGAAGGTGTGGTAAAATCTGTTTGGAACAGTTTATTTTATGCAGATTGGGCTCAGAGAAAAGTTGGACTAGTCTGTTTACCTGGAAGTTGTTTGGTGGTAAGCAGCATGTAGTCACCTTTCCTTCTGTGGTTATGGTGTTTCATAAAGCACAGAGGAGTAAAAAGGATGGAGTGCTCTTCTGGGCAGATAGTTCTTAGCTGGTAAAGTGTCTCAGCTCTCTTGTGAAGCTCTGTGATAATGCAAATTACCTCGAACAAAGGTAGGAGCAAGGTTTCAGGTGGTCAAGCTTGGTTCTTCCTTGTAAAACTGATATTTTAAAAAATTGGCTAAAACTCAACTCTCCTATGAAATATGATGTTTTATTTGTACCTAGAACTTTTATAATCTTTTCTCCGATGCCTGAAGAAGGGTGTTTGTGCCCGGAAGCTTGCAATTAAAGAAAATTTTTTTTGCAAAAATCTAATTAGATTAATCAAATATATCATCTCTGCCCTGAGTTGTGATTCCTTTTGCCTCTAGACCAATAGGCTACAGGCTGGACCCTCCCCAGCTCTGGACGCGGGTGCTCGGACACGTGGGTTCTGCCGGTAGCGGGGGAGGGCCGAGCCTGGGGGCCACTCCCAGCGGGGGCGGGGCCTGGCCTGGAAGCCTGGGTCCGCGCCGCTGCCATGGTGCTGGAGGCGCTGCGCTACCGCCGCGGGTCTCTGCAGATCCTAGATCAGCTGCAGCTGCCGCAGCGGAGCTGCTACCAGGCGATCCGGGGCGTGCGGGATGGGCAGGCGGCCATCCGGGACATGCGGGTGCGCCTCGCCACGTGCTCCCCCTGCCCCATGGAGCTGGGCGGGGGGGGGCAGGGAGACACCCCCAAGGGAGCGGGCCCCCGCAGGTGTAGGAAGCGAGGGCATGGAGTTGGGGGGGAGGCAGGGAGGAGTCCCCCCAGGGTGATGGGGGGGCGGGTCCTGTATGGAGCTGGGGGAAGGGAAACGGGGTGGAGAGGCAGGGAGATGGGGCCTCAAGGGAGTAGGGAGGGGAGATGCAAGGCTGTGGCTCCCCTGGGTTCTGTAGGGGTCTGGGCTTTGCCCGCGGCCCCCCCCCAGGTTAGGGGAGGGAGAGTCTGCACTTGGGAGGCCCCAGGCTGGGAGGGGGGGAAGGTTCCCCCCCATCTCCACCCCCCTTGCTCTCAGGTGTGAGGGAGCCCCCCCTGGAGGCTCAGAGCTGCAGGAGGTGGGGTCAGGGCGTGAGTTGGACAGGTCCCCCCACCATCTCTAACACTCCCTTGCTCCCAGGTTTGAGGGTGAGTGGAGGCAGGGAGCCCCCACCAGGCTCATGGCTGCACAGGGTGGGGGTCATGAAGCTGGAGCACAGTTAGGGCACATGCTACATCCCCCCCTCCCCTAGGTGCGGGGTGCTCCAGCCATTGCCCTTGTGGGCTGCCTGAGCCTGGCGGTAGAGCTGCATGGGGGCACAGCTGGGGGCCAAGACGCTGCCACGGTGGCCACCTTCGTGGGGAAGGCACTGCAGGACCTGGCCAGCACCCGTCCCACAGCCCGCAACATGGCGCAGGCAGCTGAGAAGCTGGGGGCTGCAGTCACGCATGAGGCCCAATGCCCGGGTGCCACAGCCAACAGTGTGCGGGAGATGTGAGTAATGGGGATGGTGGGGGGGCAGCTGGGCTGGGCCAGGCCAGGTCTTGACAGCTATCTGCTCCCCCCAGCGTCATCCAGCTAGCGGAGGAGATGCTGGAGAAGGACCTGCAGGATAACCGGCGCATCGGAGAGCTCGGGGCCACCTGCATGATGCGGGGGGTGGCACCACAGGGCCAGGTGACAGTGCTGACCCACTGCAACACTGGGGCGCTGGCTACTGCTGGCTATGGCACTGCCCTGGGTGAGTTGGGGCTGGACAGGGTTTCCCTACACCAGGTAGAGGGAGCTGGCTTGGCTTGGTTTCAACTATCAGGCCTCGCTGCCTCGTCCCCAAGAGGAGCCCAGGTGTCCTGGTTCTCTGCTTTGATTGCCAACTTGGGTGGGGGAGGTTGGAGCAGAACCCAGGAGTCCTGGCTTTGGCCTGCTCTAGCAACCAGACCTCCATCTCCTCTTGGAGCTGGGAAGGGGAGCTTAGGAGTCCTGGCTCCCAGGCCCCCTACATCAGGCATTGATTGCCAACCTGCCTCTCTCAAGCAGAACCCAAGCATCCTGACTCCTATAGTTTGCTCTAACCACTAAACTTCTCCCACTTCCAGAGCTGGGAATAGAACCCAAGCATCCTGCTCCCTCCCCCAGCCAGCTCCTTAACCTTCCTTCTTCCATCTCATCATCCCTGTACTCCCCGTCTTGCCTCGCAGGTGTCATCCGGGCCCTACATGCCCGTGGCTGCCTGGAACATGTGTACTGCACAGAGACACGGCCCTATAACCAGGGGGCCCGGCTGACAGCCTATGAGCTGGTTTATGAGGGCATCCCAGCCACCCTCATTGCCGACAGCGCAGCTGCCCTGGCCCTGAAGGAGAAGGGCATCTCCGGTAAGTGAAAGCCCAGCCGGTCTCTCCAGCTTCCCCAGCCTGGTGCCAGCTGGCCCCCTGGCCTGGCTCTCAGACCCTGGGTTCCCCATCTAGGACAAGGACTTTGATTTTGGGTGAACAAGGGAGGTGGGCACAGCCAGAAAAGCCCTGGGTCTCCTGCCTCCTAGACTGGGCCCCTCCATCCCAAACAACCTCCTCTCCCCAGTAGGGGGATAGATCTTTCTAGACCATATCCCGCTCCTCAGGGGCCCTGTGGCTGCCTTGGGGTCCCTCCAAAATGCAGGGTCCCTTCCCCCTGCTGGCTGCCAACTCCTTTTATCTCCTTGCCCAGCCATCGTGGTAGGAGCTGACCGTGTGGTGGCCAATGGTGACACAGCCAACAAGGTGGGCACCTACCAGCTGGCTATTGCTGCAATGCACCATGGCGTGCCTTTCTACGTGGCGGCACCCAGCACCTCCTGTGACCTCAGCCTGGCCACTGGGGACCAGATCATCATTGAGGAGAGGCCCAGTCAGGAGCTGACAGACATCAACGGCATTAGGATCGCAGCACCTGGTATAGAATCGGAGCCACTGCTCTGCAGGGACCTCCAGGAATCACCTAATGTAACCCCCTGTTTGAGGCAGGATCATCCTTGTTCAACCATCACAGTCAAATCCATTGTCCAAACTCTTAGTAACAGTACAGTCAACCCTGATGCAACACCAGGCATTGCACCTGACCCTGCCACAGGGAAATCAGGGGAACCGCAGTGGCCAACATCCTGCTGCCGTAAAAAGTTGTTAATATACTCTTGAGATCCCAGGAAGCGGCTGTGTCCTTACTACAGAGAAAGGCAACCTACCCCCAAGTCTGTACCAGCCTGACAAGGGGGTGAAATTCCTTTCTGATTCCAAGTGTGTCAATCTGACCCCGAGCAAAGGGGCAAGACCCTCTAGCCAGGAACCTCTGAGGTTAAGTCCCAGCAAGAGCACTGGCACAGCCCAGTTGCCACCTCCAGACCCCCAATCATAGAATCCTAAAATAGTGGGGCTAGAAGAGACCTCCAGAGGTCACATCCAGTCCAACCCCCTGCCTGAGGCAGGATCAGCCCTGTCCAAACCAGCCCAGACAAGTCCATCATCTAAACTCTTCGTAAAACTACTGTCAGCCCTGACAGATCACCAGACATCACCCTCAACTCTGCCACAGGGAAAGCAGGGGGACCACGCAGCCGGTGTCCTGCTGCTGTAAAAGGTTGTTAATACTCATTTGAGAGATCCCAGGCTGTGCCCCTGCTACAGAGGAAAGCAACCACCCCCCACTCCTCCCAGTTTGTACCAATTTGACCAGGGGGAAATTCCTTCCTGACCCCCAATGCAGTGTAGGTCTGACCCTGAGCAGAGGGGCAAGCCCCTTTAGCCACGACCCTCTGGGGTTGAGTCCCAGCAGGAGCATTGGGACAGCATAGTCACCATCCCCAGTCTGGGCAACATTTAAAAAATCAAAGTTACAGTCAATGCCTCTAAGGAAGTGGAAAATAAACCCTGAGACAAGTAGCAGCAGGAGGCACTGGGAAAAATATTCCCTCCTAGCCCAATGTGGCAGCCAACAAAGCAGCCTGGGAGATCCCCAGAGCAGAGTGGGTTGAGCTACCTCCAGATTATGCTTGTCCAGCCTCTCCTTGAACCCCGGCAAGGATGGAGATCTCCCCACCACACACTGTTCCCTAGGCAGAGAGATGGGGAGGGAGCTTCTGGCTCAGTGGGATGCAGCTGAACTGGTGGGGAGGGGGGACCAGCTGGAGGGGCCCATAACCAATGCCGTGTTATGTTTTTTTCTGCCCAGACATTGGCGTCTGGAACCCGGCCTTTGACGTCACTCCCCACGACCTCATCACTGGCGGCATCATTACAGAGCTTGGGGTCTTTGCCCCCGCAGAGCTCCAGGAAGGCCTGAAACAGGCCTCCATCAGGTGATGCACGCCCCCGCATCCTAGGCCAGCTGTGCCTGGGTGGACTTGACCGGGGCTGCCAGCGCTGGGGGGTGTCCGGTGCAGACCCTGCTTTGTCTGCAGCTAATAAACCCAGGTTGCCTTTTATACTGTCAGGCTTGTGATTCCTACCTCCAAATGGAATTGGTGTTCCCTACCCTGTGTCCTAGGGTCTGTAGTGCTCGGGAGAGTCTCTGGAGGCAGGGGCCTCCTGTGTGGAGTTTCCCCTGTCCTGGCTCTGGGCCACGTGGGGCTTTTGCTTTCTCTCTGCTCTCGCTGCTGAGGATGGCTGTGCTGGGCACGCCACGCACACATATGCACACGTGTGCTCTGTGCAGCTCCGTGCACAGGGAGCGACTGCATGGGACAATGCAGTGGAGATTCCAGGACTGGGGCAATTACACCCCAGCCGCCTGTGTCCCAGCATGCATCGCCCCAGGCTGCCTAGCCCCTCTGTATCCTAGCATGCCCTACTTCCGCCCCTCTCTCCCGGCATGCCGGGCGGAACGGAATTACCTCGGTTTCCGGGCATGCCCCGGGGGCGGGGCTTGCTACCCCAGTGTCCCGGCGTGCCCTGCGGCGCCCCGACAACGCCAAGATGGCGCAGGGTGGACGGAAGCTGCCGGCGAAGCGCCCGGGCGCGGTGAAGAAAGCGGTGGTGGGCCGAGGGCCTCGCAAGGGAGGTTAGAGCGGGGGGAGCCTTGGGCATGGAGGGGACTTGGGGCCAGGAGCAGAGGGCTATGGGGTAGGGGGGTGCTGGGGGGCTGAGGTGTGGGAGGAGGTGCAGGGGCTCAAGGCCCTTTTTTGGGAGAATAGGACTTCATTGTGGCATTTGGGTCCCACTGTGCTGGGATGCTTTTGGAGTGGGGGCAGCTCCTGGGCTTCCCTATCCCATTTCCCGAGGAGGTGCAACTCCAGAGCCCAACATTATGCTCTCACACGGAGGGCAGGAGGGTTTGGATATCTCCCTCTAGCTTTCAGGCACCCCTGGAACCTGCAGTGTCACCCATTCCCTCCTAGCCTGGTGCTGTTTTGAGGAGGGGCAGGTCTGCTCCCATCCTCCTTCATCTCTTCTTTTCCCCCACCTCAGGCCGTGTCATCGCCCCCAAGAAAGCCCGAGTGGTGCAGCAGCAGCAGCTGAGAAAGGTGAGGGGCAGTGTGGGGCCTCAGGGTACTAACCCCCCTCCAACCCAACCCTGTCAGGGTCTTACCCCCCTCTCCACCCTCTCCCCCTCACACAGAACCTGGAAGTCGGCATCCGCAAGAAGATTGAGCATGAGGTGGTGATGAAAGCCAGCAGCAGCCTGCCCAAGAAATTGGCCCTTGTCCGGGCTGCGCCATCTGGAACCAAGAAGGTCCAGGATCCCCCTGGCAAGATGCACCCATGACTGGTGCCCTAGCAGCAGCATTGCCCAATCCTCCCCCCTGGGACTCCAGCCCCATCCCACACCTTGCCTGATTTATGCCACAGGTGACACGAGCTGCAGAGGTCTCAGCCTGGCAATGCTGAGCGGTGGTGCATGGTGGCTGTGAGGGGTTTCCTGACCTCTTGGCAGCAAGGGCTAGTGGGAGGGAGGGGGTGTCCATGGGAGAGAGGAGGTGCTGCTTTGCCCTTTGATCCTGCTTTAAATTACAGCTATGCTCAGTCAGTGACTGCAAATGCTTTATCCCCAGCTGGATTTCATAGACATTCGGGCTGGAAGGGATCCTGAAGGATCATCTGAGTCCAGCCCCCTGCCCCAGGGGCAGGAAGTCAGCAGGGATCATAGGATCTCAGCAAGATAAATATCCAAATGTCTTGAAAGGAGTCTCCAAGTTCATTTTCTCTTCCCTGGAGAAGAGCTGGAGCTCAGATCCCCAGAGCCATCTGGGGTGGTGGTTTTGTGTTTGCCCCCCTCTCTGCCGAGAGACCCAGTGGCCCTGGGGCATAGGTCATGGCTGAGGAGAGAAAAAGCCCCCTGTGCCCTGTGAGTGACCCACTGGGGTGGAGGAGCCCCAGCCTGGCCCCATCTCCCTCCCCTTGTGCGGTCTGTTCATGGGGGCTGTCTTGGAGCTCCTGTGCTTTTCCCCCAGTCGGTCTAGCTCTTAATAAAGTTCAGTGTGGTGGGGAAAAATGTCCCTGACTCTCTCAGGCTGAGTCTGGCTGGAGGGGCTTGGGAGGCCAGTGCTTGGTGAGGAGCCCTGGTGTCATCTCTTCTCACCAGGCAGCGGAGCTGGGTGTGGATGGGTAGAGAACAGAGGAGCCCTGGGATATACCCCTCCCACCAGAACTTGATCTCCCCTCAATGAGGCAGGGGACTTACTGACCCTCCCTCTCTCTCCCCCCACCAGGGTCTGAGCCACTTGCACCCTCCAAGGAGGCCTAGAAACCTGGGCCAT